CTCAAACTATTAATCTTTTGGTTAGCAGCTAGGTATATAACAGCAGCCTCTGGACTCTGATAGGAGGTGTATAGTCCTAGTATCACCAGTTCTTAGCATGTTAAATGGAGCTCAAAATCTAAACTTTTAATGCAGATTTTCTGATTTTTTTTTTAAAGTATTCTTCATTTTGTAGGTTATGCAGCCATTGGATAGGCCCACATCTGGTCTGCTGTCTTAGATTTCACTCAGGCCTCCCCCAGGCTGCGGTCAGGACTCCCACCCCTACCTCACCTCAGCATGTGTCTGCAGGAGAAATTACTCCAGCGGGGAGGTGAGTGCCCTGGGAGAAAGGGGGAGCACAGAGGCCGGATATCTGGGTGGTATTGCCTCCTGTTCATCTGGCTGGATGAAGGATGTATTGGGTTCGTTTCTGCAGGTAATTGTTTAAATGTTATAGCAGCTTTAACACGTCGTCTGTTAAAATGTATTGGCGAGACAGCCATTCCGAACTTGTAATGTGGGTAATATTTAGATGATTTACTAGGTGAGGCGCAGTTTCTGATTCAATCAGAGTTGCATTTGATTCAATAGGCGATGCATCTAATTCGACTGGGAGTCCATCTCATCCAAAGGTGATGTGTTTGATTCACGGGCTGATGTACCTGCTTTAGAAGGTGATGGATCTAGCCCACGCTGAAGGATTCCAATTCCCCCACGGTGGGTATTTGCTTCAGCATGTGATGTATGAGTTTTAATAATGAGACAGACTGTTGGGATAGCTGGGCACCTGCGCCTCCCATTACCTGGCATGTATAGGGCCGCAGCCACTTTGAGGCAGAGAGCTTGTCTTAGTGAAAAACAATGGAAGAGCCAAGTGGCAGCAGGGGCCAAAGAGTCACCTGAGTATGACCCGAGATGTCACTGCCATTCTTCTGAGATCCACAGATGGTATCCAGTCATCTGGAGTATTACACACAGATATAGGTGGAACTCACTGTCATCAAATGAGAGAGATTCATATTTATTTGGCTGCCACTGTTGACCATCATATCACATCATCATGACTTGTGTGTTACTGCAATGCCAGAAGCTATGGCATCAGTATTCTGAATGCTAGCAGGGTCACCAAAGCGGTCAGGTCTCAGTGGAGCTCCAGAGGAGGACAGACTAGGAGGGAAAAGCATGGCTAGTTAGTGATGCGCCTCTGAGCATTAGCCTGACATCATTTTGAGATCATCGCCCTATATCATCTCCTGCTGCCCCAGCCAGCTCTCTGAATCCTTTGCCTCTGTTTCCCTTAAGTCCTTGGAAGGCATAAATGACTTGGCGCCAGCCCTAGAGGTTGGTGGTTGGATTCTATCCAGTCATGTCATGAGGAAAAGGTCAGGCCACGTGCTCATAGAGGGATGGCAGTCTAAGCACTCTGAAGCCATCCTACTCTGTGTCACAGAGCAACCCCTTGAGTCAGACTCAACATGATCGCAAGGGCCTGGCGGGGCTTCCTTTTACTTCCACTTGCAAATCCCAAGAAACCAAGCCCATCTGGTCAGTCCAGCCTTTAACATGGAGTCTGGGGAGAGGAGACACTGCAGACTTAGCTTGAGTCTGGGACAGTGGTCGTCATTCCAGGAATGTGCAGGCGCAAGACGTCAGAGAGGACTTAGCGGACTTCTCTGGCGCTGGTGGCCCAGGGGTTAAGGAGTTGCACTGCCAAACCAAAGGTGGGCATTTTAATCTTCCAGCTTTCGGTGGGGAAAAGCCGGGCATTCTCCTCCTGTACAACTAATAGCCTCTGAAAACTCCCTGGCGGCTTAGCTATAGGTCGGCACTAACTCTCTGGCATATAAGGACAGCTTGCTCAACAAATAGATATGATTGGTGATTTTCTGTGTACCTGTTGCTTCCATGTTCTTTATCTTACTGATAAGATCAGATCAGGACCTGTGCGCTACCGATCCCTCCCTCTCCCAACCTGCAATCCCCAGAAAGCTGGGGCTGGGAGCAGCCAGGGCACTCACCCTGGGTCATAGAGCAATTGGTGGAAGGATGAAGGAGAGTGAAATTCTCAGGAACCTGCGTGGGTGGGTGGAGAGCATGGACAGAGTCCGTGCAATGCCCTCTGGGCTCCCCTCCCCGTGCAGGCCAGCTTCACACCGTGTGGGATGGGCAGCCAGGCTGATTCCACACAACAGCTGCCGGTCCGCTTGTGCTGCTTCCCGAGGTCGCAGCGGCCCTGACTGCACACATTTTCCCAGGCTGCGGCTGAGAGTGGGGGGTCCTTGGGCGCAGACAAAGCAATAGCTCGGCCTTGCAAATGACTTTGAAAATGAGGCCACGGGGATTCCACTTGGCTGACACACTCTGCCCTGGCCCAGGCTGCGTCCCCCTGAGGCGTCCCCAGCCCTGGCCGGCCAGCTGTGCCTCCCACTGCCGCCCACACCAGAGCCTGACCACATGGAAGCTGCTGCTGAGCCCAGAATTCCCCTTCACACCCCTTCCCACGGCAGGGAGGGGCTGGGGCCATGCCTGAGGCAGCAAGGACTAAAGCAGGAGAGAACTGACCACCACTAGGCTCAGACCATCTGCTCATGGAACCTCCCTGGGTGTTCACTGTGTCCTGGGCACCACAGAGACCAACTGGATGTCAGAACGAGACTTCCTGCACTCCACACTTCCTGCACTCTTTAGACAAGACCTTGAATTAGAGACAAAAACGTAACCGAAATGAAATCAAGCATACTTTTGTCAAGCTGATTCTCTGTCATGGACTAGATCACGTCTCCTCAAACTGTGTGCCAGCTTGGCTGGGCCATGATTCTCAACGATTTGGAAGATGTGTAATGATGTAATCATCCTGCGTGATGTGATCTGATGTGATTAGCAATCAGATACTCAGGGATTGAGGTAGGATGTAAGACCCTCCCAGGTCACAGTCTTGATCTGATGCAAGGAGAGTTTCCTGGGGGTGTGGCCTACAACACCATTTTATCTTACAAGAGATACAGGTGAGAAAGGAGTGAACAGATAGAGGAACCTCCTTCCACTAGGAAGGAAAAGCCAGGAGCACAGCATGTCATTTCAACCTGGGGACCCTGCACTGAGAAATTCCTAGATGCGGGAGAAGATTAATAACACAGACCTTCCCCAGCACTGACAGATACAGAAAGCCTTCTGCAGAGCCAATACTATTCTGTGAGACAATAAACTGCGGCTGAACCAGGGCAAGAGGATGAGGTGGCCAGAAGGAAGTTGGTTCCCATCATATTGTCAACTGTAAAGACGTCAGGATGAGGAATTTGGACTTCCCTGGGAATGGTTGACTCTAAGTACAGTTTGTGATGATCATCTAACATTTCTCAATAAGACGGAACAGTGTATTTTTTTCATTTACTCACTCAGCCACTCATCTACTCCTGCTATATGTCTGAAATGGTCCTAGAGACTGGAGAAGCAAGATTAACTAGAGAAGTTGCCTTTCTCATCAAAGAGGTAACAATTCTCAATGGAAGATATGGGCTTTAGATTCAGGCAGACCCCACTTCAAGCACATTCTTTTTCTTGTTGTGTGACCTGGGTTGCGGTTTGACTTCTCTGTGTCTTAAGGGTAAGGTTTGGGTATTTTTTCTAAGGCAGGCTCTCTAGCCTCCCACATATGATGAGATCTGAGTAAGCCCTCTAATAAACTATTGTTGTTGTTGTTATGTGCTGTTGAATCATTTGCGACTCATAGCGACCCTATGTACAACAGCCCTAAACTCTGCTCTATCCTGTGCCAATCTTATTGCCTCTGACACACCCATCCCGATTACCCCAGTCACTGAATCAATCCACCTCATAGAGGGTCTTCCCCTCCTGTGTTGTCCCTCTACTCTTCCCAGCATGATGTCCCTCTCTAAAGACCTGTCTCTCCTTACAACATGTCCAAAGTATGTCAGGTGAAGCCCCAGAATCCTTGCCTCCAAGGAGCAGCCTGGTTTAACCCTTTCTATGATGAATCTGTTTGTTTTCTAGCAGTCCATGGTACATTCAATACTCTTCTCCAGCACCACAGCTCAAAGGCGTCAATTCTCCTTCTATCCTCCCTAGTCATTGTCCAACTCTCTGATGCATAACAAGTGATTGCAAAAACCATGGCCTGTATCAGGTGCACCTTAGTCTCCAGAGAGACACCGTTGCTCTTGAGTACTTTAGAGAGGTCCCTAACCGCAGACTTTCCCATGGCAATACGTTTTTTGATTTCCTGGCTACTGGTGCCAAGAATGTTAATAAACTATACTTTTTATTAAAATTTGTGTTCTATAGTTTGCAAACAGGAACATCCCATTATTGCCTGTTGTAAAAACAAGTGTGGAGATACTTGATCAAGAGGAAGAACTAAGAATTGTTAAATATTGCTGGGAATACTGTATATGTCCATAGCTATATATAGGAATCACAACTCTCGGGCATTTCCAGTGAGACTTACCCATGGACACAGAGTTATAATAGTGTGTATGTGAATGTCTAGCTGCCCCTCAAGTTTATGTTGGTGGCTTAGTGGCAAGAAGCTGTGCTGCAATCCCAAAGGCACATGATTTGAGATCACCAGCCACTCCATGGTGAAGGATGGGCAATCCCCCACCCCACCTTGTGGATTAACTGTCTCTAAAAACCCACTGGAGGGTCAGCTATGGGTTGGTTCTGACTCCACGGTATACAACAACGAACAACAGGACTGCCCCACACTCCCTCCTGGGCCCTGCACTTTAGGCTTCCACAAAGTCTTGAGGGCCTCATCTATTTTAGATGAATGTCTGGGTCATTTGGTCAATGTTTTGACTGTACCTTCCTTATTCAAAGTTTGTGAGGTGAGCTCCATTTCCATTTGCAAGGAAAGGGCTCAAATACAGCAGGAAGCTAGGGTGCCCTGAACACCTACCTTTGGCCCCATTAGCGCCTTTACAAGTGTGTGGGGAAGGGACACAGGTGTGCTGAGCCTGGCTGAGGTCTCCACAGCACTGCATGCCCAGTGGTCTCACAAAGGGCCTGAGCTGGGCTGGGGACCAACAAAGCAGCATCTGCAGCCACCAGCTGGCCCAGGTGTAAGCCGTCACCGCAGCCAGCCTGGGCTCTGCTGCCACATGGCCCAGATCTGGGGCCGCAGGTGGAGACTGTGGACACACCTGGCAGCTTGTCCTACCAGGTCCTTTCTGTCTTCATTATTCTTAGCTTCAAAGTCAGCGCGTGCACTTATACGATCATGTGTGAACATGCACACTGCAAGTGGAATTCGCTCCAGCTGCCATAGTCTTTGAGAAGAAACAAAGCACTGCACTGTCTTTTGCACCATGAGCGCTCCCTGGATCATGCAAATCCATTTTGATCAAGGCAACAAATGACAAGAAAGAAAGTAGTCTCTCTACATCTACCCACCTTGGAAGGCCTGGCCAGAAAAGGCTGGCGAGTCACACCTCTGGCAGCAAAGCGGGCCCTGTTCTTTGAACACAGGAACATCATAGCTTCTCACATAGCCAGTAGCAATCTCCGCCTCCTCCTCAGAGGTCATTACCATCTCAAGAGCATTTGGAGCCATGATGTCTCCTGGATCCGGAAATGCATTGGTTCCTGTCCAGGTCATCCTGTCCCTCCTCTAATCACCCTGTAGAAGGAACACTACTCCCTTAATAAGACCAAAGTTTAGAATTTTCCAGAAGCATCCTGAAGAGGATATGACCTTTCGAGGATGATCAGCTAATCGAATGGCATGTATTAATCTGCTGTCACGGACCTCTCCAGAGTGCTGAAGAGCAAGGATGTCAGGTCTTGGCCATGGTCTTTGCAATTACTTGCTATGTATCAGAGAGCTGGGCAATGACCAAGGATGACAGAAGAAGAATTGATACCTTTGAGTTGTGGTGCTGGAGAACTGTTTTGAATGTACAATGAGCTGCTAAGAGAATTAGCAAGTCTGTCCTAGAGAGGGTGAAATCAAGCTGCTCTTTTGAGGCAACATTTTGAGACTCTATTTCACATATTTTGGTCACATAACCAGAAAGGGTCAGTCTTTGGAGAGGAATATCATACATGGAAAGGTCAAAGGCCAATGCAGGAGAGAAAAACCCTGGATGACACTGACACAATAACTGAGGTAATGAGGGTAAGTGTGTCAGAGACCGTGATATTGGCTCAGGATAAAGCAGAGTACAGAGTTACTATGCGTAGGGTCACTATGAGTCATAGTCAACTCAACAGCACATAACAACAGTAACCATTTCTGAGTCCAGCCTTCTGTTAGGTTTGGTCCAATTGGGAATTATTTCTATCAGCATTCTGATGCCAGGAGAGTGGTATTCTCCTGACTGCACTGATCCGAGCCTGGACAATGATGCCTAGGGTTGGCGTCTAGGACTGGAATCTGGGAATTGTCTACGAGAATGATGCACTGTCTACGGTGCTCATTCTGGGTTTCCCGCACAATGATCTGGAAGGCATCAAAGATCTCAGATCTCCTGCAGGAAAGATCCTGGAGTTTCTTCACCTGCAAAGACGCTGTATATCATCTGAACTCAAGATAGTGGGAGTTGGTGTTTGAGACAAACAACTCCTGTAAATCCTAGCTCCTAAGGCCAGCCTCCTCTACTTAACAGTTAGTTATGCTTTCTTCTCTCGCTGACAAACTTCTCTTGCTTAGCCTGTGTCTTGGGTTGAATTGTGTTTTTCCCCAAATGTATGCAAGTAATGATGTAATGTGGAGGCTAGTTGATGGTCCCCTTATGATCTGACAAACCACACAGTTGTAAAAGGATATGGCTGTGGCTCTCACCACAGCCTTGTTTTAAGGATGTTCCTCTGTCAATAACACTTAAAAAAAACCTGATTTATTTACAAAGTTTGAATGCATAGTTTCACACAAGATCTTTCCTATTTCTTTCACCACCACTGCCCCCCCTCCCCCATCAAATTGTGTGACCCTATGAGTAGAGAAACAGGAGAGGGAAGGGATCTCGATAGCACTGAGAAAGGATCGCCAGGAGTGGAGTGTGTCTATTTGGAGTCAGACCCTATACTGGGAAGCTGAGGATCAACAGAATATACTTCCTTCCAGCTAGTACCCTGAAATCGGATTTGAAATCTAGCCTCTAAACTATAAAAAGGAAATCTTTTGAATACATTGTTTTTCAGACTACATTCTTCCAATTTCTCTCCCCCTCCCCATCAAATTGTACAACCCCATGAATTTTGTAAATAAACTAGTATAATAAATTTAAAAAAAAAAACCAAAGCAACCCCACAAAAGAAGACTTAGAGGAAGGACAGAGCCCCTCAGCAGGAATGAAGCCTCATCACCTCAACATCTCCCTCAATGTGCACAAGGAGAGAATGGGAACCCAGGTGGTCACTTACGAAATTATCATTCCCCTTGTCCCAAGTCATGCACTATGACTGGTACTGTCCAGAAAGATGTCATTCCTCTTGGTTCCTTATGATATTTTGGGAGAATGACAGGGAAAGAAAGCCAAGAACAGGGTGGATCTGCCTTGTGAGGGAGTTCCCAGCCTCCTTTAAGGCCTTTCAGGCCTTTTATCCATCCGGGAAGCTCCCTGGAGAAGCCATTTCCTGGAATCTTCTCACTCCCCTTGTAATCCTCAGTCACCTCCCTAAGGTCTAATCTGATGCTCACCCTTCCTCCCAGTGATCAGGAATGATTCAAGGCAAGACCCTGAACTCTCTACTCAGACATTGCTGGCCGCTTTGCTGGGCTTCCCATTAAGAGACAGGTCAGTAAAAGAAACCGAGGACCACAACAATGGCTGACCACAGACCTAGCATAGAGGGAGAGGAGAAGCAGGTGGTGTCCCATATGCTAGTGTTTGGTCTTACACTTGAACAGACGTCATAGATCCTTCCTTGTTTGTACCTGTTCACAAGCACTGCTGGACATGGAAGTGCAGTGCCATTGCAGTGAACGTGTGAAGTACAGTTGTCTTTTGTACCTTAGGGTCCCCAGTGAAGCCTGAGTATCTAAGACACAGAATGGTGAAGTGTGAGAGCTGAAAGGGGAGTCAGAGAGAAAACTAGAGGGGGGCCCTGTCCTCAAGGAATTGATGACCAAATGTCGGATAGGTAATCAGCCATTCTTATCACAGCGTGGTAAGTGCCTGATCAAGTTATGGGTACATGGTGTGCTGTGTTCACAGAAAGGAACCTCTTCATTCTCCCTGGAGAAGAGAAAAAACAGGCTTTCCCATTCTACAGATGAAGAAATTGACACCCAGTGTGTGTTCAGGTGAAAAGACAGAGAAAGAGCCCTTTTGGTGCTATGGTTACAGTGCTCACCAAAAGGTACCAGCTGCTCCCTGCAAGGGAGACGAGCTGTGTGTTCCTGTGAAGATGTCCAGCCTTGAAAAGCCTCTGTGCCGTTTTACTCTCTTCTGTGGGGTTGCTACAAGCTGGAATTGACTCAACGCCAGTGGGTTAGTGGATAGAGTCAAGTGAGACCTGGGACCTCAGGCGCTCAAGCCATGGCCTCCATCTGTCTCGCTGGGGTTGGGATTACACAGTGGTGTCGCTCACTCTCTAATAAACCTGACACACAACGTCCCAAAAGAAGATGTTGGCAGGGGCTCTCCTGGGCCTTTGGCTGAGTCCCTGGGCTGGCTGGACCCCCGGAGTCCTCCTTGATTTTGACCCACCTGGGCAGTGAGGCAGGCGTCTGGAAGAGGCTCCAACTCCACCTGGTCCAGTCTCCTGGCCACAGGAAATGATGCCTCCAGCATTTCAGCAGCTGTTGCTTGCTTGGCATGGTTCAGATAAACAGGCAGATGTCCTCAGGGCGACCTCCCTGACTCAGAGAGTTTGGGAACTGAGGTATTCATTCCCCGGGGAGAGGAGGACAGGACATGAGCTGCTGACTCACGCTTCCTCACTGTCTTTCTGCCCTGATCCTTGAGTTAGAAGAAAATGGACTCGATGGCAGTGGCTTTGGGTTTAAAGCTTCAGAGAGATTTTAGTTCAAGAGAAGGATGGGCAATCTCCTTCTGTCTGATTTTATTTCCTCTGAAAATGTGCTGGAGGATCAGTTAAGGGCTGGTTTTGACTTGACGGCACACAACAACAACAACAGTACTGAATATCGCAAGGGCTTCCAGAAGAACAAACAGATATGTCTTGGAGAAAGTGCAGCCAGAGTGCTCCCTAGAGGCAAGGATGTTTCATCTCTCATACTTTGAGCATGTTGTTGGGAGAGGCTGTTCCTTGGAAAAGGATAACATGCTTAGAAAGGTAGAAGGTTAGCAAAAGAGAGGAAGACGAGATGGATTGTCACAGTGACTATAGCAGTGGACTATAGTATTTCAGAGATGATGAGGATGATACAGGACAAGACAGGGCTCAGGTCTATTGTTCATAAAGTTTCTATGAGTCGTACTCAACTCTACAGTGCCTAAGAAGACAACGGCTGAAGGTGCTCTGAACAGGATGCGGTCCAGTGCCAAGAAAGGGCTGTTCACCCTCCGCCCCAACCCCAATGCACCCTTTGGTTACTCCCAGGAAGGCAACAGATCTTGGCAACTTTCCTGCATAAACAAAAAAGAAAAAACACATCTACTGCCATCTCATGGTGAACCTCCACAAGGTTTCTGAGGCTGTAAATCTGTACAGGAGGAGTTTTACTCATCTCTCTCAGGAAGTAGCTGGTAAATTCAAAGCACCGACCACTTTGTTAGCAACCTAATACACAAAGCCACCAATCATCTTTAAAAATAGTGGGATGGGTGGGAGAAGAGAGCATTCCTGTGGGAAAGCAGAGAGAGGCTCCGCCTGGGAGAGAGGGTGCCTCAAGTGCTCTTTAGTGGTGGGTGATAAATACGTCATAAATACGTAAGAGTGGGACACTAGGATGACATGTACATAAAGCATCTTTTGAAAAAGCAGAGCTTGAATAATCAGCCTTGTTTTTGGTTCAATGTTCTCTTGCTGTCATCCTGGAATTCTTAACACTTTCTGCAACAAGATACACCTTTTTCACTTGGTCTCATGAATTATCTAGCTAGTCCTGTCTATGGCCTTGTTGTTGATAGGTGCCCTTGACTCGTAGCAACCCCACGGACAGTATAAAACAGACCCACAGGGTTTTCGAAACAGTGTTCCTCACGGCATCTGCTCACCAGGTCTTTATCCTAAGGAGCCACCAGGCAAGTTTGAACCATCAACCTGTTAGCAGACACATGTTTGACTTTTGTGTCACTTGGTTCTTTTTCATAAATTTACATGGAGAAAAGGAGCCTAGACACTTTGATTCTGTTGGACATATACACAGACCAGTGGTGTATCCTAACAGGTTCCACCAAGAAGCTCTGTAGGGGCTTGGAATATACTAGAAAGGGACTGGAATGAGAGAGATCAAGAGCCTTGCTCGATGTGTGCCTTCCAGTTCTCTTGACTTCAGTTTCCTCATTTGAAAAATGAGGAGCTGAATTAGAAGGTGTCAAAGATGACAGACTTGAATATGCCAGCAAATGCTAAATCTAAGGCTGTGTATCACACGGTCTGTAAACTAGCACGTGCATTATCTGCGAGCTGAGGGAAAGGGGG